GCCAAGGTGAGAGGGGTGCTGATGCAGACCCTGCCTCTGTCTGTGTTGTATTAATCCTGTAATGCATTGGTCCTTGTTCTGCCTTTAGCCCTTGTAAATGCATTGAGAGGTCTTGGAAGTATTGGTTAGACAGCTTTTATAAGTGCTGAGTTTATGTTTGCAGTTGCTATATTAATAAAAATAAATTGCGTTTGGACCAAAATGCTTGTTTCTGTTTTGTGAGCAGTTTATGTTATAAAAATACCTTTAAGTTGTGGGAATTTATCAGTTTGGCAGCTGCCTATGTTGCTTTCTTTTTATCGTGACTTTTCTTTTAGAGAAGCCTAATCCTAACACCAGGCATGTTTTGGTAGAACACAGCCAAGACTGAATGTAGCTCTTCATAGGGTGCACTAAGTTTTTTGGCACTCAAATAAGAATTGCACTTAAGTAACTCAAACTGTTGATAAATAGTGTGAAAATTGGTATTGTTGCTGTTAGAATGAGTGTTACCAGCTTATTTGGCATTCCTGTTCATTGCATCTAATGAAATATGTGGCAAACAACCAGTTGATGACTTTGGAAGCACTGTAGCTGTTGGTGGGAATGGGAAGACTGAGCGTATTATATGTGGGACTGGTCCTGTAAATATTCTTCACTCCACTCACCTCAGTAGCTTCAAGCCTTGCCCCGTGTAAGTGGCATGACATAATGTCATTGATGTTAGAAACTGTGTGCTGTTGTATGTTGAGATGAGTCATTGGTGCTCATCAGAATTAGTGATGATTTCATGAAGCTGCGGAAAGGCAGTGCTAATTCACAAGATGAAGTAAAGAGCAATAGTTTGTGGCTTGGTTTTGATTTCAGATGGATTTGCCACGCAGTAGGGTACCCACTAGAGATGGGTTTGGCAGCTATGTAGTGCTGTGTGGCAGGGTTTGACCCCTGAAGTTTTGGTGTGTCAGATCTGGCACTCGTTGAACAAAACTGCACCTGGAGCAAATTCCATTTGACTTGATTTTGGATAAAGAGAATGTAAACTGAATTTCTCTTTAGTTTCTGTGGCAGCCACCTCCAGAAGAGCACTCTAGCTGCTGTTACAGGCATTCGTTTAGAGCTGAGAAAGAAAAGGTGGGTCTTTAATGAATAACTACACTCTATTGGTACCCCTTGCTGAAAGGGGAAGTTATGGTTGTTTATAATATTTAGGCTCCTCCAGGGCTTTGGGATAGTTTTCTTTCTCTGCCTTGCTCTAAGTGATGATGCTTACCTTCCTGCCTCTGCCTGGCTGATGGGAGGTACTGTGCCAACCCCTGCTTTTGGCAGCTCTCCCATGGCTTCAGTGTTTTACTCATTCTCCACCTCAGAGTGCTACTACCACATGTGCCCCTGTGCATACAGCACCCAGGCATTTCCAGCACCAAGGCCCTTGAAGAGTTAGGGCCTAGAGTTTGATGTTGGAGCTGCCAGTACACATGCCTGCTGTAGCTAAAAGCTGGATGCTGCCCTGCGCAGGAGAAGACTTGCCTGTACCTGTCTCTGATTAAATGCCATGCAGGAGTACAGATTGTTCTGCTTTGTTGTTTGGTTGGTGGTTTTTGGTTGTTTGGGGGTTTTTTTGGGGTTTTTTTTTGTGTTTTGTTGTTTGTTTTTGTTTTTTTTTTTTAACCAAGGGAGCAGGTTGCTAAGAGGCAAATGGTTATTTTAATTATCCTTGGGGTCTGGATCCAGAAATATTCTTAGAGTGGTAAAACCTAGGAGATAAGTCAGGTTGAAAAAACGAAGTTTTTGCCTTGTCTCTTGCCTTTCCTCTGACTGTTACTTATTTTTCTGGACCTGCTACCAAACCTTGAACAGGCTATTGTAGCATTCACCCAAATAAATTCTTTTGGGACAGACTTAGCTTTAGAGCTGTTGTGAGCAGGTCAGAAAATCCTTGATGCTTGGGGGAGAATAAACACTGTGCTGTAATTCCTTCTCTTTCAATAGAAGGCTTATCACAACAGCAAACTTGACTACTTTGAGTTTATAATGTGCTCTAGTGGAGATGATGAGCATGTTTTTAATTTTTAACCTCCTCTTGGAGGCCCAGGGGTGACACTTGCTATCTGTCTCCCCAAACAACATGACATTTTGATAAATGACTTATGTATTGTCAGCCTAATACAATATCATTCTTTTCAAAATGTTTTAAATGTCAAAGCTTTTGATAGTTCTGCAGCTGCCAAACACAAAACTCAGACATAAACTGAGCAGACTATGGTTCTGACAAAGAAAATAACGCCAGTTCAAGTTTTCCACATATCAACTTTTCCTACTTTTCTCTTTGCAGCTCTCTGTTGCACATGTATCCTTTTTCAGCACATGGAACAAAATCAGATTTTCAGTAAATTTCTGTAATCTAAACTCAAAATAGGTTAGCTCCACATCTCAGAGCAATTTTTATCTGCGTGTCTAGCTTATAAAGTGATAAATCTGTTTCGTAGTATGTCCATATGGATTAGCTCTGTTCAGCCTCGTAAAACATGTAGTTAGGGCTTTACTGTGTTTCTCAACATAGGAAGGAATTAGTTATTTCAAGTACAGCAGTGCTATGTCTTCCTGGACAAGACATCTTGAACCTTAACTCTTTGGCTTGGCCAATGGTTTTGTCACTTTGCCTAGTGGCTTAATTCATTGTGGAAACAGTTAAACTCTGTTTAATCTTCATTTGAAGGGTTTGATGTTAAACCTGCAGGTAGTTTTAGCTATGATTATTTAGAAATGAGAGAAGGGATTATACATGCCAAATCCTGCCATTCTGGGAAGTGTCCAGATTCTGAAGAGTTTCTGTTGTCAGGATGGTCTAAGCACGGCAGGGGCTGGAGGGAGAAATAATGTGTTTTATTAGGCCAACTGATTTAGATCGGAGCAGCGGGGGGAAAGTAAACCAGGGGTTTTAATTTTCATAGCGCTTTTTTTTTTTTTTAGTTCCAACTTGATCAGTTGGTCTAATAAACAATAAAACCACCCAAACCCTAAACCCCTGCCTGTTAGCTATTTCCTACGTCACAGGAATTAGATGTCTTCATGTTGTCAGTTGTGTCTATAGCTAATTGATGGAATAAAAGAGCTGCATCTGTAAATCCGGCCCCTTGATCACAATTATTGGAGGAACAAGGCCCTTCTCTCCACAAATACTGTATAAAGGTTTCTAAATCTAGCCATAAAATGAGCCAAATAACAAAAATTACTTGCTGAAGTGTTGAGTCTGAATCTGGTGGAAAAAGCTAAATATAATCTAAAAATATATTGTGTCTCCCATTGATTTGAATTAAAAAAAAAAAAATATTTGAAAACAAAAACTGCTAGGAGAGCAAACCATTTGTGCTAGTGCGGTGTGCATGAAGTCTGAATTCCAGCAGACACTCTTGTAGAAAAGAGAAAGACTTGTGCAACGATTGCAAGAACATGAAAGACATTTGTACTAGAATAGTTTAGCAATTCAGGTGGTTTCTGGCTGAGAGACACAGCTTGTGCATGAGGATCTCAAAGTATTTGAACTGATGAGGATGTTGGGAAGAACTGAAAACTCTCTTCCTCCAACGCCTAGCAGATGCATTGGCTTGGTGGGTGAAAGTGACCGAAAGCAATGATAAATGTGACAATGTGCTCCAGGTGGATGCATCTACAGAAAACTCTCCAGGCATAAGTTAATGCTGAAGGTAATGCAGAATGGCTTTGTTCTGTGGTGTCTTTATGCTCACTAATGCATCTGCTTACAATGGTGTCTTACAAGCTCGTCAACTCACATTCAAACACAAACTTACTTGCCCAAGGTAATAGAATGATTTTTTTTTTCCCCCCTCAAGCTTGGAGGGTTTTTGATGCACATACTACTGGGACTTGTTTCTCATTTCACGCTTGCAACAGATTCCTCTTAGGTTTGGTAACTTGCCCAGGTTGTGATGTGCAGTAGTATTTATTAGAAGGAGTCATGTGTGACATGCCTTTCACTCCATGTGCTGATGCCAGCAGCTTTTACTGTCTTATGTCTAGGGGGAAAAAAAAAATGCTTGCAACAGCACAGAGGTGTTCCTGAGCATTGCTCTTTGGTTTCTAAGAACCAGCATAGGCTTAAGCCACTGGGAGGTTTTCCGCTCTTTTGAATTTAGGAATAAGCAACTGCACCATTCAAGACATAAGAACATTTGATCACAAAAGGAGAAGATTAATGGTAGTATAATGAGAAATTTTATCTTCTTCTTCTGTTAATACATAGTAATTAAAATAGTAGCATACATGAAAAATTGTGCTTGTTATTTGTTAAAGCCAAAATCTCAAAGCAAAAATTGAATTTGCCAATATCATCAGTTCCTACTGGTAGAGAATCACATGAAGGCTCCAGCTGCTTCCATGGCTGTGCGTCTCAAAAATCAAAAGTACTTTTTAGTACTCTTTACTTTAGCAGTATCTGTCCAAGCTCCTTCATCTTCCTTATGAGCTTTGGAACAACCAACTCAGTGGTGCCTTTCCAATGCCAAAGGCTGTCCTCTGGCATGCAGAGAAGCAGGGCTGAACTTCTTCACAACTGCTGGAGGAAAAACGAGGGCACTAAGTGAGATACCTTAGAGAGGCTGAAGCTGCCCTGCAGAGTTCTTGTAGGAGTGTAATAAAACTTACAAAAGTGCCTTTGAATTGTGACCTCCCAAATGTCCACTGGTCAAGGGTGATTGGGATTATGAAACCATAATGAATGCATGACTGATGCTTGCTGAAACTGGACCACTCTCCCTAAAGGCAAGTAATTGTTTTGGATTAACATGTTAATTGTATTTGAAGTTATCTTATAATGAAATCATTTCTCATATAAATAGAAAAGGAGTGATGCAAAGGTGCTGGAAAGCAGCAGCAAGGTTCTGCCTGCTGCTGGAAAATAGGTTTGGGGTTGGCCACTTTTTAAAGGTTAATTTCAATTTAAAGATAAGCCTTAATGTATTTGGCACTGAGAGTGCAACTGTAACCAGATCTCCTTGTTTTGTACAAGTGCCTTTCAGGTTTTTCTGCAAGGTCAAATGTCCTTTTGACTGGCAGCTGGTCTGCTCTGCTTGTAGGTATGTAACTGGTATTTGGAGGAGTTGCAAAATGGGTTTCTCACTGAAGTCAAATCTAAAAGTGTATGAGAGTCCAGCAGTTTCACTTCCTGCAAAGCTGGAAACCCTTGTAGCATTTATTAAGATTTCCTGCAGGGAAAGAAGGATGTTAGTCTTGTTTGACTTACAGAATCATAATATTTGCACTGCAATTTGTAAAACAGAGCAAGAATTTTTTCAATTAGTATTTCCTAAGGAATAGCAAATTCAGTAAAGTGGATTCTTTTAACATTTTATTTTTTTGTCAGAGAATAAATAAAGCCGCTCACAGGACCTTAAATGTTCCACAGTGTTGGAGTAGGGAAGAAAAGCAGTGAACATGGTTAGTTCTACTAGGAAGAGATGAACAGGTGAAACTATTCTTAAATATTTCTCAATGTCTTTGCTGGGCACATTCATAATATAATCTCTGAACTGTAGTACTGTACAAGTGCACTTGTAGGAGGCATAAACTTCAGTCTTGTTGATAAAACAGTCACTTGGTCAGTTCACCACTGGTTTTAATTTTCCTAGTGTTGCAAAATTTTTCTCAAACTCTGAGCTGATTGCAATGGACACTGATTTCAGGCCCAAACCAAATTTGCCTGAAGTCCTGTTAGCCTCTTCCCTTTCAGATTGGTAGTAATTTCAGGGTTATAGTCATTTCATACTATGGGAAATGCTTTATGTCTTTTAAAACCTTTCAACCTTAACTTTGAGGCAGCATTGCTTTTTCCTATCTATACAGAAGAATGCTGCTGGGAGAGGTGAGGCACTTGGGCTGCGGAGCCTCTAGTATGTGAGAGTTTCCAGATCTTCAGTACACACGGTGGTGGGACCATCTGGATGTATGTTACTTTGTGCATTGCAGATATTTCTCATCTCCATTCTGGATGAGATGGGCCATATATCTGGGATTTATGGGCATCCAGCATATGCTTTACATATAGTTTATACATACGCAGAGGCTGATCATCTTTTGGATGCATTGGATTTACGGTCCACTTGCAGATAACTCTGCATGTAAGACTGCAGTTCTGAGCCAGCTTCTGGACTTTCAGAAATCCTGGGGCAATGGCCAGAGTCCTTACATTTTTTTTCCTGGTAAAAGATATAGGTGGAAACAGAGGGCATGCCTTGAGATACGGTATGTGAGAGGGTAGATCTCAAAGATCATTGTATAGAGAGAACATCTGTGTACATGTTTGGTAATTCAGCCCACAAATATGAGGTGAAGAAAAATTATACTAGAAGTTGTAGAGGTGCTTATTTATTGCTCTACAAATTAAGAAACACCTTCATTATCTAGAATTCACCACTTAGGTTTAGAATTTTCTTCCAATTTGAGCCTGAAGTGGAGACACATTACTTTTTCAGTCCAGTGAGATTGTGGTTAGACACATCATCTCTGGCTGTGGGTGCCAGATTGTGGCAAAATATAGGAACTGTTGAGTTTGAACATCGAGACTTGGAAAGAAAAGAAAGGAACATGACTGAGAGAAATACTTGTGGTTTATTGTTTCTTATTCCTAATTCTAGGAGGCATTCAGCACATACTATGACTTTCAAGGCACGTATCATTCAGCTTCTGCTTTTCGTTAATGAGATTCATTCAGGCATTGGAGTTCAAGCTATTGGAGTCCTAACGTGCTCACTGTGTTACTTCTAACACTTTTGATCTCTGTTGTGTTTCATATCAAATAGTTATGACAGTTTCTGAATCACTGACACATTCGGAAAGGATCAGGCATAGACATCATGTTGGCATATTACATTTCACATATAATTTTGGAGCACTTTTCTGAGAGTGGGAAATAGACTTGCTGTCACTTCAGTGGGGAACTGAATTTAGATTGCCCAAGGTAATATGGGACACTTACAGCAGACCAAGTAAGTGAACAAGAGTCTCTCCAAATCAGTTTCCTAACCATTCATCCAGCATACCTGTTTTCTCAGTTGTTGTATCAAAGCATCTTTTTTCTGCACTAACGATGATCTCAACCACAGCCTGATAGAAGCACATCTGCTATCAACCGCTATATTGCATACATGCCCTCAACTATGCGTTGTTTTATAAAATTAAAAGCATTTTGTGAAATATTTCCCAAAAGCAGTGTGCAAAGGAAGTGAGCATTAATAAACAGCTGCTCTAGGAATTTTCTTTTAATTCTGTTTAACAGAGTTTGCTTAATTTTTTCCATTAATATACTTAGTTAATCACTTAAAATTTCTGGGTTTATTATGTAAGAGTTCAGAACTTCCAGTCACACTGTGTATAATTTACAGATGCCAATACCTGTAAACTTGAGGTAATTACCTTGTCTGCATTATTAAAGTAATAATTCAAAGGGAGAAACAAAATAGGGTAAATACTTACGCGTGGGCCACAGATCTGGGTGTGATGTGTGGTCCCCCATGGCTGCTGCTTAAGCATCTGATTGGACAGATGCTACAACCAGTGATTTCTTAGAAATCAAGATATTATTGGCCTGACTTTCCCCTTATTTTATTTAATTACACCTTCCAGCAAATGTCTAGGAGTAGATCCAAATCAGATTGAATTTGATGGGAAACAAATGAGTAATTACAGCCCTTTCCAGTAAAGTATTCAGAGTTATAGCCTTATTGGCTTCATATTGTTTAAGAAAGTGCTTTACTGAACTAGGGCATAGGTTTTTGATTTAGTATCCCACTGCTATAAGACTGAGTGCCTTCTGGCCAAAGCCTATCTGAGGAGTAGCTTTATAGAAGCACAGCTGGGTTGTAAACAAATGGTGATGTACTTCTGCTCTGCATTCAGAGGGAAGAGAAGCAAAATTAAAAAACAATAATATATATGTGTTACTGAGTACCAGACAGAAGAAAATCAACTGCAAAAATGAAATGGAACTTGCAGAATGAGGTTCAGACAGCTTATAATGTCTCCATTTGGTATGTGCTTTATTAAATAAATGAGAAGAAAACCAAGAAATAAATACCCCATGAAGTGACGTAGTCACTTCAGGTTGTTAAGACTTTTAAATGTATAAATTTGCTCTCAGCTTTGCATTACTGAGGTCACATGGAATTTTTTTTCATTGAATCACTTTCTTCCTTTAATTTAAAAAAGGAGGAGCAGAAGAGTAGCGAGTGAAAGGAAAGAAAAGTCCTGAAGGAATATGCCAGACCCTTATATTAGTAGTGGGTTTAGGCCCTACATTTTTTAATACTAGTGTAGGAGTTTGACCTGTCCTTTCCATGCTGTGAAGAAACTGAGCAGTTTGATTGAAGTATGATTGATTAAATAGACAGATTAAGAGTGTTTGGAGCCAGGGTCTGTCTCCAAGCCATGGAGAGCAAACCTCTTCTCCTCCCCAGACAGTTAGATGTTAAATTTTGGTTCACTTTATTGTAGTGCAAATGTACATATTCTGATACATTTGCTGTTTTGGTTTACAATTCCCTTGTCCCAACTCCCTCATTCCTAGGTTTGGAAAGTTAGGGAAAACAAGCAAAGTGTAACATTAACAAAGAGCTTAGTGAGTATTGCCTGTAGGGTATCAGAATATAGAGAAAGACTGTGGCCAGCAGGGACAGGGAAAGCATCTGACCCCTGTACTCGGCACTGGTGAGGCTGCCCCTCGATTCCTGGGTTCAGTTTTGGGCCCCTCACTACAAAAAGGACATTGAATGACTCGAGCGTGTCCAGAGAAGGGCAACGGAGCTGGTGCAGGGTCTGGAGCACAGGTCTGCTGGGGAGCGTCTGAGGGAACTGGGGGGGTTTAGTCTGGAGAAGAGGAGGCTGAGGGGAGACCTCATCGCCCTCTACAGCTCCCTGACAGGAGGGTGCAGAGAGATGGGGATGAGCCTCTTAACCAAGTAATAAGAGATAAGACAAGAGGTAATGGCCTCAAGTTGTGCCAGGGAAGGTTTAGACTGGCTATTAGGAAGCATTTCTTTGCAGCAGGGGTTGCTGGGCATTGGAATGGGCTGCCCAGGGAGGTGGTGGAGTCCCCATCCCTGGAGGGGTTTAAGAGTCGGGTCGACATAGCGCTGAGGGAACTGTCAGTGTGAGGTTAATAGTTGGACTGGATGATCATCAAAGTCTTTTCCAACCTAGACGATTCTGTGATTCTGTATGATAAAAGGAATAAAACTTCACAGCCATGGCAGACTTGGTCTCTCTTCTACATACTGGGCATCTTCGCAAGCAAAATTGAAACAGGCAACATTGTGTAAATGGGTTTTGATCCTATGGGTCCTTAGATGCAGTGCTTACAGTTGGGAAGTGGAATCCTATCTCCATGATTGTATAGAAAGACTTATACTTTATAGCAGGTTCAGGATTATGCACAAATTCTGAGATCTGTTGGAAAATTCTGTGGTAGAAAAATTTGTGAATAATATGAATGTAGATGACCAGATCTGTCTAAAAAATACTCTAAGGCATGCATTTTCAATGAGGACAAAAATAAACCTAGAATGTTTGCTTCATGCTGAGTCTTAGCAATGCTGTTCCAACATAAACTTAGTTTAGATGTTGTTGGCTTTTGGAAAAAAACAAAATTTTTTTTTTAATGTCTTTAAGTTACTCAGGTAACCTCAAGCATTGCAGAACTGTTTTCTTTTGTCTGGGGAGAAAAAGGCTTGGAGAAGCATCAGGAAAACGTTTATGCAGAAATTTTGATCGAGGCCAGCATAATGGAACAGGGAGGTACCTGATTCTATAAATTTACATGTAATAAGCTAATTTAAAATGTGCAACTGCAGGGGCACTCCTCTGCACTTATCACAGTGTTTTAGTCTGCAGTAAGATTTTGACAGGTACAAAATATACATCCCCAACAGCATAGGATTTGAGCAACTTCAGTATAATTTGGCTGCTCATCAAAGTAGAGCTTTACGTGCAATTTGTCTGAAACTGCTGTTGTTTAGTTTTTGCCTTTTTTCCCCCAATAAGCAAGCACATGCATGTGCCTAGACTATGATTTGTGTCACAATCTGACCTCTTTGTTCTGAGTCCTAATTCACCCCTGCTGTTCTCTGAAATGAAAACCTTCTGATTTTCCTGCAGGAAGAGACATTGCTACTGCCATCTGCAAAACATCAACATCTTCTACATCATGCTAAAGTCACTCTGAACTCTCAGCGTATGATGACTTTCAAAGAATTTTCAAAGGCATATCCTTATCATATGTTAAACACTGAAGTTAAGAGACTGAATATGTCTTATCATGTAACCAATTTGTTAGGTGGGCATCAGTTAATTTATGGTGCTTCATAGCAGCTACAAATTCATACTTCAGTTTGTGTGTTCTGGTGGTAGACAAATGATGTGTTTACTTTGTATTAACACTTTATTTTGTGCACTTCTGTATTTTACAATTAAAAACATTTTTGTAAAGCAATAATAGCTTTCAGGTGCTGAGTTTTGAATAGTACCTTCTGGATGTATTTGCACAAGCCATCTTTTATAGAGCTCTCCTTTTATGAATATTGGATGTAGATCATGAATAGAAATGCTTGGGAAGTGTACTCATAGCTTCAAGCCTGAAGCTGTTTTCTGTGGATAATCTGTAACACTTTTGAGAAGAGTGTGAAAAATTTCATGCTACTAATATAACCTCATTTTGAATATGTCATACATGTCAGACGGGGATTTTAGTGTAACAGTAAGAGGGTTTTTCTTACCATTGGGAGTACAAATAAGAAGATGAGAAGCAAAATCTCTGTCCTGTAATAAAATGAAGAGTGATAGCAAAAGCAATTTGGTCTGTTGCCTGTGTCTGTACTGTACGTGGGCTGTCTTGGAGGAAGCCAGGTCCTGGTTCTGTCTGTCCATTTATCCTGGTAAGCAGCCCAACTCCCATCTTGTTTGTGAAATTGGAAGACCCTTGTGCAGACCCTTTCAGGAAGAAACATGTGGTCTTGTCTGTTGGCATCAGGTCACTGAAAAAAGGATGAGAGAAGCAGGCATCAGTGATCTGCTGCCCCACAAGAGATAGACATATGCTTGAGTGTACTATGGAGCACAAACTGCACTTCAGACCTTTCCTCAGTCATAGCAGCCTCATCATCCTCATAATGCTCCCAGAGGGCTCTTGAGGGTGAGCAGAATGAGCAAGCAGTGAAACAGGCCTTGAACCTGGCTTTTTAGAAGATTGTTGAAGTAGGTGGTATTTCTGTTGCTGAAATCTTGTATAAAATATTTTTGTTTCCAGTTAGTTTACTGTTGTACATCTTTAAGCAAAAATGAACCTCTCAAAATGAATAAAATTAAAATTGATCCTGTACAGTGGGGAAGGGAGTGAGGTCTGCACAATACAGTTTACAGATATAAAATACCCTATAGCTGCAGCGCAGTGTACTTCGCCTCTCCATTCTGTGTCGGTAGCTCTGAATTTGCAGCACATTAGTACAGGTATGTTGTGCCACTTTGAAGTCAAGTAGAGGATCATTCTTTTAAACTTTACTGATGTATCTCAGGAAAGCAAAGGTAGAATGAATACATAGACCTCTCTCTTGCCCTTTGAGGACTTAAAAAGTGGTGAGAATTTACAGTCAAGTTTAAGATTTGTGAGATTCTTATTCATCTGACAACCTATTCAGCTACCAAGAGAAGAAGACAGAAACCATTTTTTAATCCACATGCTTTTTGCCACAAATCATTCACTGGATATGAGCATATAACTGCTTCAATTGTCCACAGTTTACTGAGCTTCCTAATACATCTAGAAACACTTTAGGAAAACATCTGATTTGAATTGAGGATTTTCCCTTAGAAATACCTGTTTGTCTTCACTGTGCTTCATCAGATTTTGGTGATACGATGGTGTTAAAAAGAGGTGTTTGTAACCCTTTAACAATTTTAAAGGGGTAGGTATTGTAGATAATAACATATGGGCAAATGGTGTCCATAAGCTTCTTCAAAGTAGCTAGAGGTTTCTGTGTGTATCCAGGAAGGTTGTAGCTTGACCTCTACAATCAAAATCAAATATGATGTATTACCCATCTCAACATCCAGGTAATCTGCCAGATCTCAACTGTTTGTGATCACTAGCAGCCTTCCTTGGGCTCTTAACTGACAAGTACATCCTGATGCTTGTTTAAAACCACTGATGCAGCTGACAGGTTGCTTTGCCATGTGAGCTAGTCTCAATGTCATAATTAAATGTTCGCATTCATAATCTGGTTACAGTCGCTTAATACAGGCTTGAGTTCCTGTCTCATGGGAACACCTTAGTCAACACTTTATGTGAATGGGGCTACTTTGAATGTTGTGTTGTACTGGATTCCTGCTGATGTAACAAGTCAGAAAACTCCTAATGACGTACATCAGACATAGGCAGTATCTATACTAACAAATGAAACATACCCACGGCCGTTCTTTGCCACTGAGGCCAGCTGTAAGATGTGCATGCTCACTACTAAACTCTTATCCTTCAAAACAGTCGGTCTGCTTACAGGGTATGGTCTGTGACCCATCGTAAGTCCCAAATGGCCAATCCAGGAATCACCAACCCTATAAATAGGACTGACTGCTGCAGAAGTTTATTGAGAGACATCATGGGTTTTCAGTTAAATACGGAATTGGTAATTACAGCTTTTGATAATCAGCAGCTGTTACATATTTATTTAATTATTCCCCTACGCTTGTTTTTAATATAATTTATGAAACTGCAATTTTACTTTTGATATTAACAAAAGTATGGTTTGGTTTTTCTTACCAAAATTTTCTTTAGATCTCAAAATACAGACTAGGGTTTTAGTTCTGCAACTGATTTACAATTTACCTGTAGTCTCATTTCACCTTACTATTTCCATTTTTTCAGCTAAGGAGATTTCATTCATATAGGGTTTTTTGGGGGGATGTGTTGTGGTTGGTTGTTTTGTTTGGGGTTTTGAGGGTTTTTTTCCATCAGTGATGACCCCAGGAACTAATTTCTTTTGTTAAATGATTTCTACTTAGAGACTGGTGTATGAATCCCCGTATGAAGCACTTCTGGACAGAAGCAGATTTTTTTTATTTTAACAGAATCTATATCTAATTCTATTCTTAAAATACAAAATATGCAAATACACTTCACATTACCTTACTGTTCTTGATGATATACCTCAGTTGTGCTGTTGTGTCCCCTTTATGTTGCTTTGGAATAGGATGTGCAAATTATTAATTACTCTCTTCTTTTTTCTTTTTTGTGTGACAGCATCTTGCTTTAGTAAGACTTACAAAGTAGTGGCTAAAATCTTAGAACCTGGAAAAGTACACTGACCTCTTTGAGTGTCAGTACAGCTCTGCTTCCCCAGACCTCTGTGCCTGCACCTTTTCGGTGTAAATCCTGTGTGGTCTGTATGTCAGCTGCTTGCTGATTTTTACACTAGTACCCAGCAGAGTCAGAGTTGAAGACCTCTTGTGCAACAAACAGGGATTTCCCACCCACAGTTTTAAGGAATTATTTGAAAATTATATTTCTTGTGGGCTACCTCAACGTTGGTGAATCATGCAGCACTAAACCCACAAATTATAGCTTGGTTAAGTGGTCTAGAGTAAACAAAAATTTCCAGTATTTGAAGAAGAATTTGTGACCCTGAAAGCTTGTCTATTTGTTTTTCCCCTGACTGTATTGATCGGCATAGCCAAGCTCAATGAGAATGATTGACATATGCCAGGAGCTCATAATTCTGGTGCTGTGAATGGCAACGCATATGGTTAATCCAGCAATGGTTAATGCATTTGCTGAGCATTTCCAAGTGGAAAGTTGTTCATTGGCCCAGGACGGTACTTTTCTCATGGACTAGTCTTTCACAACGATTATTAATATGAAAGCTGAGACGCTAATTGCAGATAACTATACAATTACATTGATCCTTTTAGTTTTCAAACTTTATTATTTAAAATATTTAATTCCACAATAATGTCTTTTAAATCTTGGATTCTTTATTGGTTTTCACTAACTAGTTACAGTTTAGAGTATGTTGTTTGCTGCTTCTCAGCTAAAGTGGGCAGCTCTTTCAAAAAGGAATGAAGAATTAGAACCCATTTATGAAATTTGCTTTCTGGAACAGGGTGGCTTAGAACTCCACAGCTTCTGGTGATCACCAGTACTCTTGTGGTTTTTGGGCCAGTTGATGAAAATGCCCTCCCACCTGCAACACCTACAAGGTCTGTGTGACTAGAAGGTACATACAAAGGGTTTCCATAGAGATATCTGCGTGGAGGAGGTCCCAAATACAAGGCAAGTAGTCTGATGTGCCTCCAAAAAGTACTACTTCATCATCCCCAGAATAAGTGTTTCAAATTCAGTAGTTCACTATCCTTCCAAAAAAAGATGTTTGCCAAGGAAAGTATCTTGGTGTTCAGCAATCAGGTAATTGGTGTTCCGGAGTTAATAAGCCAAGTTCAAAGGGAGTTTGAAAAGTTAATTCTATCTTGCTTCACAACTGTCTCTTCGTCAGTGGTTTAAGCTCATTGTTTCATGCTTTATGTGGACACAGTAGACTCTTGCTCATCTTATCACAGGCAACTTCAGCAAGGCCAGGCAATCACATTGGACCATCAGAGACTGTAAGATCTGAAACTGCTGCAGCAGTTATCTTCAGGGCCTTGTGACACACATTCTACCCTAATGCAAATATTGTTCTGGTTTTGGCTGGGGTAGAGTTAATTTTCTTCACAGTAGCTAGTATGGGGCTGTGTTTTGGATTTGTGCTGGAAGCAGTGTAGATATCACAGGGATGTTTTTGTCACTGCTGAGCTGTGCTCACACAGAGCCAAGGCCTTTGCTGCTCCTCACCCCACCCCACCAGCGAGTGGGCTGGGGGGGCACAAGGAGCTGGGAGGGGACACAGCTGGGACAGCTGACCCCAACTGACCCCAGGGATAGCCCACACCATACGGCATCATGCTCAGCATATAAAGCTGGAGGAAGAAGAAGGAAGGGGGGCATGTTCAGAGTTACAGTGTTTTGTCTTCCCAAGTAATGGTTAGGCATGATGAATCCTGGCTTTCCTGGAGATGGCTGCACACCTGCCTGCCCATGGGAAGTGGTGAATTAATTCCTTGTTTTGCTTTGCTTGTGTGCATGGCTTTTGCTTTACCATTAAGCTGTCATTATCTCAACCCACGAGTTTTCTCACTTTTACTCTTCCAATTCGCTCCCCCATCCCAACTGGCGGAGGGTGAGTGACTGACTGCGTGGGACTTAGTTGACAGCTGGAGTCAAACCATGACAAATGTTCGTGCTTGAACATAAAGCTTTACCACCACAGATTCCCAGACCCTTGAAGGACCCTACTCTGTGTTGTGGTGCAACCTCTTCTATGTGGGTGTTTGGATTTTGAGAGGGTTTGCTCTATCTGTGAACCCTCGAGGTGCTCCGCTCATTTGTAGCATGTTATCAAGTCTCCTTTCTACAAATAACGGGTGTATTTCAGCATAAAAAGAAAAAAGATGGTTTGTGGTATTTTTTGCAGACAGATCTCACATTCATTAGACACACAGAAAAACCTGCTGTGTTTATGCTCAGCAAGACGTAGTCAGAAGTGTTGTCAGGTGTTAGCATGGGGTTTCAGACAGATCTGGCATGGGGATGGAGACTTAACTGAATGACGCATGCTTTTCTGTGCTGTGCTTCAGCACTTTGGAAAGGCGTTCAGTTCTTAAATGTGTTAAGCATCTTT